CTGACAGAACTTCAACAATATGGCTGCAGCGAGCTTCTTCCAGGTTTTGCGAATACTATCTATTCTGCAGTTGGTGCTATGCCCACATTGGGAACTCTAAGCCGTTTATCTCTATAGGAAAATTGACCAGTGTTTTTGAAAATCGCAGTCATCATATCTTGTGGTAAACAAAAATATTAATTGGTCTATGAAATATGAATATTGCTACATGCAAGTTAACACTGCTGTGCACTGAATTAATATCATAAGACTAGCAACCTCACCAAAATACCAAAAAGTAAATTAAAGTTTCATTGTAGAATGCTGCAGTTCTACACACTGTTATCCACTGTTGTAAACTGTATTGTTTAGAATGGTCCCGGGTTTATTGGGGAATTTATTTTCAATAAAAATTCCCTGCTTTCAATACACGTGTAGTGTCAGGCTGGTATCATATTATTTAAGTAGGTTTTCAACACAAATACACGCAGTTGTTCAGTCACAACCTACAAAAAATCCAGAATTCAGGGCTCTAGTGCTGTTCATCTCTTGCAGTCAGAATTGCAGCTGGCTCTGACCCAGACAAGGATCCAGCATGAACCGTGACAAAACTCGGATGTAAGTTACTGAACTCCTGTGTGATAATATCTGCTTGACTGCATTCAGCATCCTGCTGAGCCTGCGGAGAACATATGTGCCCCATAAACCAGATAACGGCCAGTGTGTGACTCACGAGCACATTCTCAAAAAAAAAAAATAGTGCTATGAACGAAAAGCAGGACAACTGAACAACAAAACAGGGTTTTAGGGCTATAATACTAAAGTGCTAGGTAATGTTCATATGGCACACATGCAGTCACTCTGACAGACTGTAATACACTACAGGAAGAGTAGAGGTTGATACTGTTTGCTGCACTGTAACAGAAGGAATTGCTTTACTTTACACAGATGGAACTTTGAATGATGTCAGTCCTGTGACAGAAGCACAGAAGAAGGCATAATGATATGATCAATCAAACAACAGTTGGTAGTGATGATATCATACACAGTGAGGTGAAACAAGTTTGTTTTTGTCATTTAACATAATTCCAGTGCACATATCCACTACATCCATGTACAGACATAATGTCTTTTGACTTTGTAAAAATGTGTATTCATAAGCATAAACAAAGTCAGTTGGCAATTTGTCAATTTTCAATGCATGTCAGGAGGCTGGCTAGGCCATCCAAGCATCTTGACTTTCTTGGTATCATTGTCCTGGTGAAGCATCCATGTTCTCCCCATACTCTCAAAAAAAAGATACTAAACTGTCAGTGGGGCAGTACCCCTCTTGTCACTGGGGTGGTACCCTCCAGCGTATATCTTCAGTACCTTTAGTTTGGGAACATAATTGTACCACATTCCATTGTAGGTACATTTTTAAGCTGTATTGACTCCACACATCCTGTCTCGTCTCCAGCCTTTTTATTTTCTTGTTCTTTTTTTAAAGAATTCGGTTATGAAAATGTACAAATGCTCCCCTTGGAAAATCATTAAAGGACCCAATTGGACCGTATAACCATCACTGTACCTTTGAGGGTACATTTATATTGTTTGTACCTTGGTGTTCTAGGGGCCATACATGCAACCCTTCCTTATTCAAACATGACAAGCTGAATTACTGCCTAGGAGTTCTTTTTGTGTTGTCTGATCAGGGTACACTGTTCCAAAACAACAGCAGAGAAGTTTTGCATGAGGGTAGGAATGAAGATGACTGTGATGCAGTTCACTGCTTATTGTTCTGTGAGTATCTGTTGTTCCTGCTGCTTTCAGGCCATCTCGTAAGTCACTACTGGATTCTCTCTTACCTTCCTTATTGTTAGTTGGAGAGCACATTGTGAAATCTTGTCCAGGGATTTTTAGTTGTGATTCCTTGAACTTTCCACTTGCATACTGTTGTACTGACCGAAACGATTAAAGTCTTTGATGTAGCTCTGTAGCTACTTTCGTTCGAGTGTTGTTTAATAATGTTGTCCCTCAGAACTTTAGGGAAGCTACTTGTTGGAATCTTTCCAACCAATGACCACGTCGTTTCATAACGGAACCAGGTGCAGTTTACACTAAAAATATATTTTTTTGCAGCTTTAAAATCTACAGTTTGATTTATATTATGCAACATTTACTTAGCATATTTAATGTAACCCATAAATACTATCAATTTGGCTTTTTAACCCCTTAATATCCCAGGTTTATTACATGCAAGTATTTGTCAGTAACTACATGAACTACAATGCAAACTGGCTGAGATATTCTTTTATACAAGTGTATAGTAAAACTTCAGTGGCTTCTGAGCCATTTAAGGGATTAAATATTTCTTTGTTTATGCTTTTGAATACATACATTTTTATTCATATTCATAAATACAAACCTAAAAGACATGTGCTGAGGTGGATAAATGCACAGAAAGTATATTAAATAACAACAATGTAATTGTCAGGATACTTATTTAGCCTTACTGTATGTCATTCATGTGGATCCACATACACACAAATACACATTTCAATTAAGTAAACTCATTGCATTTTTTCAGTGCAAAGATGCTGCCAAAGCCCAAAGAGAGGACTACACAGACTGGAACACGTCAGCCATCTGACCATCAGAAAATATGGCCTTATCCACCACGGCATCAGCAGCCAGCAAGCAGTGCGAAAATGTAGCATGGCTGAACAGGAAGCCTGATGAGGGGGAAAACGAGTAAAATCAAGCTTGTATCAGCATTTGTGTCCACTTAAAATACACTATTATGGTGTATAATATCAGGGTTTATAGCATTGTTTTCTCAGTGCAGGCCTATATCATCACAATTAGTACTATTGTTTTTAAGTATGCGCTTGTGTGGCCATAATCTGGTTGATAAAATACTCTTATGGCATCTTCCACAGGCTAAGCAGGATGCTGGATGCAGTTGTGCAGAGATTATCACATTTAGCTTATATCTGAGCTTTGTCACAGTTCATGCTGGATGCCTATCTGGGTCAGAGCAGTTTGTGTCGTTCTTCCGAAGATGAGTAGATCTGGAATGCACTTTAGATACGTGTTCTTGTCTAAAAGGTGTGCAGTCTGGAGATAAAAGCTAGAATGTACTCTGTTGCCTCTGTTTGGAGACAGTTAGCACTATCTATGGTGTGCTGAGAGCTGTGGAGTACAAAGAAGAGCTCCTTCACAGTACTTGAAAAGTGTGTCTTTCTGAAAAGTGATAAAAAGCACTTTATACAATGGATAGTTCCAGCTCGGAAATCTGATTGGCTGAGGAACGTTTGAAGCTGTTGGAAAATACTTGACACACATATATGACAGTTCACATCAACTGAATTTTGAATTAAAAACTGTTGTATTTAACGCAAATATTGTTACTAATTACTAAATAAATGCAACATTACACAGCATTATATGATGTAAAGGTTATTCTAGAGTGTATTTTGAAGCTAAATTAGTTTACCTAGTGGATGTTTTGTGATGTAATTTAGTTCAGGATAAAGCAATTTCCCCAAAATTGCTACAGATGGTCTGGAATGAAAGGTCATAGACTGAATGTTCGAGTCAGCTTTCCAGCACAGGGCACACTAACAATAACAATAACAACACAGCACGCGACAAGACCAGTAACGAAAATGAAGCACAAATGTTATAACTAAGAGAAGGCTTATGTTGGTACACTACAGTTCAAAAGAAACCATATTCAAAAGTTTGGGATGAATATTTTCAGCAATATAAAAACAAAATGGTTGTAGATATCAAATAATTCTAATATGCTTATCCTGTGCAGCATTAACTTCAAAATCTTGTTAGGAAGGCTTGTTCTTCTTAACAGTCTTTTTAAGAAGAAATGTTAGATGTTTCCAGAATGACAAACAGCTGTAGATGTTTCCTCGATGACTGAGAAAGCTGTAGAACATCATGAATGAAGTTATAATAAAAATAAAAGCCAAAATGCTTTATACTTCAGAAGCGATGATCAAATCTTGAAGAAGATCGCAAAAAATACTGGAAAGATAATTACAGTATATTATTATATCTCGTAACTTGTTACTGTTGCCTAAACACATCTAAAATACCTTGTTGTCTAGTCTACAACAGGCACTGCATTGTATAAGTTACTCTATATAAAATAACACAACTTCTTGAAAGGCCCATATCATTAGAACTAAACTGTGCTTGCTTTTTCTTCAAGTTAGAAAGTTTGATGTAGTATGTAAACACTGTTAAACTTTGAAAACTTACCGTTTTCTTCCCCGTTCAAAACGTCCATATATGGAAGCTACAAATTCTTGAATTTTGAATTCTTTTGCTGTTGCGATGTCACGAAAAACACCTCATTTGCATACTCAGCCTACAGCAGTTTTGCCCCACCTGCTCACGCTGAAGACTGCTGCAACCCAGATATAGGGCAGCCAATAAGAACAGAGCTCATTTACATATTTCAGTCTTAACTGCACAGTAACAAAAACAGCCTGTTTAATTCTGAGGGATAGAGAGAGGTTGGAAAATGGTCATGTAAAAATGTATGTTTTTGGTATATCAATGATCAATAAAGTGGATTTCAAGAGAAAAATCTATATGGGCACTTATAATAAAATAAGTCATTCAGAATTATTTTTTGCAGAATTTAAAATTACATAGAAAGAACGTAAAATGTGGCCTGTGCAAAGAAAATTCTCTTAGAAAATCAACAATGCATGTAGTTTGGCCAGTGGTGTTCAAACTTTTGCATGTGACTGTATTGTTAATTGGATTTATTTTTATATTTATTTAAGCCCTATTGGAGCTAGATTAGTTTAACCAGAGGAGGTTGTGTAATGTTATTTATCAGGATTTGACTGGCTGATTCATGCAGGACAAAATATCTGTGTAACTTCCATACACATACATACACATATAACACACACACACACACACACACAGCTCCAGTGGTGAGAGATGAGGCCTGGCTCAAGTAGCAGGGCTGTTTGGACAGGTCAGTGGGTTTGTGGGTAAATATTTACCTTGCACACCTTGAGCAGATGTTGAGTGTAACTTTGGCCTGAGGCTCTGGGCAGTATGAGCTGCGGCCCTGGCTGAACTTACTGCCGGACGGCACCAGGCCAGTGACCCCTTCCATCCGCAAATCATCCAGATCCTCTGAGAGATACATAGAGAGAGATGGAGACGGGTCAAAATCTGTTAACTGCTTCAAGGTCATGGTTCAATACAGAAAAATGACATCTTGGCAAGCGAAAGCATCTTAGATGTGCTACTTGTCCAAAAGTATCCAGTGAATTCAGCTACTTTAAAGTGCACCTATTTCTGACACAGGCATACTCAGTTGGTCATCAAGCACAATGCCAAGTGGGTATAAAGCCTCCCCAGCATGTGCTCTCTGAAGTGATGGAGCTCTATACTATAACTTTGGGATGAGCTGGAGTGATACAGAACTAATTATCCAACATCAGTACCTGACCTCACTAATAACCTCACTCTTATAGCTGAATGTAATCAAATCCTCACAGCAAACTTGTTCAAGAAAAAATGATGCAAAGAGTAGTTTTAGTAAAACAGAGATTGCAGAGGCAAAGAGTTTCAATATGTGCTTTTAACAATCATTTGAAAAATAAAACTGTCAGATCATTATTTGATAGTGTAAAATCTACCCCAAGTTTTAGGAAATCGCAGTTTAAACATCATTTCTAAAAGCATTTAGTTTTAATTTTTTTATTTCCTTAATCAAATTAATAATAATGTCACATGGCAGATTATTATATCATATATTATTACATTATAAGCGTTTTATTTTTTTCATCAAAAATAAACAAATGTCTTTAAAAACTCTCCCTTTTCTCTCTGAGCACAAACAGTGTTAGCCAAATTAGCAGCAAAAATAAGACAAGCTTTTCTCAAAGGTGTTAAAATCAGTACTATCAGTCTTAGTAAATCAGAGTTAGTACTTCATTATAATAATCTCCTTACAGTATTCTATGCAATTAGGCAAAAGCGCAAAATAGCAGTTCTGCCCCTTTCATTGTTTACTAATTTAGCAAATTTAGTGATTTATGATTACTGTATGAGTATTTATGATATTAACCCATTAAAATCCCAGGCTTATTACATACTAAAGCTGATTATTCAGTAACTACAGGGACTCCAGTGCAAACTGGTTGAGCTATTCTCAGGTCATAGAGGTCGTGTAATAGTTTCAGGGGTGTAATAAAACTTTGGGCCCACCAGCAGGTCCTGGCATTTTAAGGGGTTAAATGAAGTAGCCTCCTCTTACATTATCTTACTTCATGGAACATCTGATGGCAGTTAGTGTTATTTAAAACCCTTTGTAGTACTGAAATTATAGGCTCAAGTTGTATAATTTAACCTTTTTTGTGAGCCTCATTTGGTTAGCAGACATAGCTCATGAAAACAGATTACTAGCAAAATAATCTTACCAAGACCTGAATGTGAGAAATATACTTTAGTCACTGTATGTGATTATTGTGCATGGAAACAGAACCTTAGATGCTAAATATCAGCCTATTTTTAAAAAATCATACCAGGTAAATTTTGCTTACCGCAATGGCAGATTTTTTTTTTTTTGCTTAAACCTCATTTTCAACGTAGTTTTTCTTGTTTATTGGAACATTTTTGCAGTGCAGCTTGTATACAAAAACAAATAACAGCATGTAAAACTGCTATTTTTTAAAGAGGCAAGCACTGTTTAAATAGAAAAGGTAAAATGAAAAATGAGAAACAGCACAGTCAACTCGTTCTTGTATACGAGCTGATTTGTGCCATTCAGCAATAAGACTTTCAGTCTGACTAACTGGAGACACATTTGACTATCAAGTGTAAATTGCATGTGGACAAAATTGTATCAGGTTACAATCCAGATACAAGTCACTTGAAATGACCAGGAGTAAACAGGGAATATGTGTTGTTTTTACCACATCTTTATTGAGTGCGTGCCTTGGTCTAATCAGAAGGTCAAGATTAGTAAATATGTGCAGGGCAGGCAGAGAAAGTGAAATATGGGAAAGAGGTATTGGTAGATGATGTCACTGATCTGAGTACAGTTTTCCCGTCTGTTTAATCATGATTAATGCTAGGCCTGGGGAACTGAAGCTGATTCTGGATCAGTGACAAAGTTCAACTGTGAATAAAAAGATCCAGAAGGTTTGTAATTGCTCACTGTCTGGTGGAAGAGCGCAGGAGATAAGAGCTCTCAGCTGTGTGTGTGAGGAGAGGAAGAGATGAGGCGAGCCACACACACACATCCTGACCCACCTCCTCACACACACATGCAGCTCTACGCTCATACTGCAATTAGCAGTGAGATAGCGATTAGCCCACAGCTGTATGGTTAGAGAAATGACAACATGGCCAGGAAGAGCACGGATGGAGGAAGAAGCTACATCCTGACCACAGCAAAGAGGATGGACCCAGAAAACCAACAGAGACCAAAGAACGCTAAAAAGAACAGAGAAGAAAACACGGGAAAACAAGATAGAACTCAGCAATTAGAAGAAGAATTAAACATGGTTGATTCTAGAGAAATTTACAATGACCAGTGAACCTACATGTGTCTTCTGAGTTTTTATATGTAATTTCAATATTCATAAAATATTGGTACATAGGAAAAACACCAAAGTTTTCCTTGGAAACTATGTTGCATGCACAAGACATCAATGTATTTTCTATGTGTTTTAGGACAAAACCTTCTCAAAACAATGTCTCAGACATCTGGTAACATATTTGTAACTGTTTTATGTAATAACTTTCTGTGAGGGGGGTCTTTAGAGGCATTAAACTCTTCAGATTCTTCCTATCATCACCACTGTGAACAATTCTGACTCGGCAAGTTTCTCTAAAGTGGAGCATTTCACATCAAACCACTCTGACTTTGTTTACATCTTAACTAGTTACTTCTGCAGAAATGTTGAATAATCAGTGGAATTCCCACTTCAGAAATACAACTTGAGTGTGCCAGCATCCCAATAACAGCTGTGATGTCATTCCCTCGAATGTTTTATTGCTTTTATACAACAGTTTTGTAAAGGAAAGAAAAAATAAAACAAAAAAGCCCAGAATGTTGTTTCCGTATTGCCAGTTTTTAACCACCAAAAATGCAGTTCCAGCAGCTTAGACTACAGTGACCACTGTTGTTACTCAGAAACCACTGGTCAGATGAAAAAGCATGCTGTTGTCAAATTTAAGAACATAACTAAAACACTTTTCAGACAATCAGACTGTCTGGTTGGAACTAATCATTGTATTACAAATGACAATAATTATCAAAATCTAACACTGATGCGGTTCCGTTCCTCAGTCTAGCATCAGCAGCAAAGGATTGATCGTTATACAACTGCTACTTCTGTAGGTGGCAATGGACACATTTTGCTTGCTAGTCAGGAAAAGAGAAGAAGTCTAGCCATTCACTCACAACAGCGCAAACCAGAGTGACAGTTTGGACCTTCAGCTAGCTACTTCAATGCTGAAATTGCAGCAAGCAAAACGGTCAGAAGTTCGACGTGGACAAATACTGTTCATTGAGCACTGAGAAACGAATATAATAATTTGTGATAATTGTCATTATTCAACAGTTAATTCTGACAACACAATCTGATAGCATTCTATGTCGGATAACCTGAAACTTTCTTCGCCTGTATCACACCACAGACAACTAGTTGCTAAATAACAATTGTCATTTTATTCTTAGCTGCTCAAGTCACTATTTCCAGTACTGAACTATGAATAACTTTCAATATTATTAACCCTCTGGAGTCTGAGGGCATTTTCTAGATTTTTGCATGTCTTCTTAAATGCGCCTTTAACTATAACATACCCATATGTTTCATATTAAAATGCTCTGTTATGTTTGTCACTACTTTCCAAAACCACTACAGCAACTTTTTGCATGCTATGTGTCTCCGATGACGACTGAATGAAGAATGAAGGGTTTCCAACATGATGGGTAAGTCTTTAGTCATTTCCTGAGTGTTCACTGGTCAGTCTCACACAAAATGTAGACGGACTCACAAATCCACCAATTACACAAGGTGAGACACCGATGACGTGTATCCCAACCCCTTATCATAGTCTCATAACTCCAGATGTGAGTCACATATGATCTTGCAATAAGATGGAATCAAAAGAGCAGACTGGACTCTATTTCTATGCTATATTATCACAAAGACAGAGAAACCTATACAGAAACATTGAATTTGACGTGCAGGCGAGTTAGTGGATCCCAGAAGGTTAAACTACTTTTTTTCATCTCTGGTTCTTCTTTGGATCTTCTGGCCTTATCACCCTGCTCCATAAGGCAGACTATGAGGAAAACCATACTATGTTCTTGACACTGGACACATCCTTGTAACATGTCAGCATAGTTTCTCCTGTTCACTGTCAGCAGGTGCTGAAAGAGCACAGTTCTGGCAGCAATTACAGAACTCAAGAACAGAGGAGAAGAAATACGAAGAGTCTCCTGCTTCTCTTCACCACACAGCTGCTCTTCTGTAGAGCTTCTCTCTCACACGCAGCAGGTTTAGACCCGGGCCTTCGTCCAAACGCCCAGCGGGCATGTTTGATCAGGTAGAACCGAACACGGCCTTCAGCAAACCAGATGAGTTTTGTTCTGAATCATGATGACCTTGTGAGAATTTACTAAGAACTTTTACTAAGAGCACAGAGGTCATGTTGGCTCATTTTCTCCCAGTACTGAAGGCTGTGATTTAGACAGCTGTGAAAAATAGCTGTGAATAGCTGGCTATCTTTTCTGAATACCTAACTGAAACCTAACAAACTACTATTTTATTATATACCATATAATGTGCCACATACTATATAATATTACCAGTAATATTACACTTCCTGGTCACTTTAATAGAAACCTCCCCTAGTAACTCTACCTTGCTGGTTAGAAACTGTAGCTCATCTGCTGATGCACAGCTTGTGTTAGTCATCCTCTAGTCCTTCATCCATGGTCAGCTGCTGACCACAGAGGTACCCTTGGCTGGATATTTTTGGGTTGTGGACCGCCCTCAACCTAGCGGTGTCACTGCTGTGATGAGAATGGACAAATACCCAAATAATATCTGGTCAACAGTGGTCCAGATCAATGATGAAAGGGGTAGAGGGGGGCATTAAAATTTTGTAGC